CGTACATCAATTTTGGTCAAGTCATAGTAGTGGATCTGCACTGCCCTCAAATTCAGTTCTCATGTCCTTCGAATTGTTGTCCAATTCCAATTTTTGGCATATACAGCTGTTGTGTTTTCTGTTACAATATCCTGTTTTGATAGTTTTTAGAATTTAGCTTTACATGTACTCACTTGTATCCTAAGGGATCCCATTATTCCATAATTTCAACGTTTCGCATTTGGAATCACAGTGGCAAATCATATGAATGTTGTAAAAGCAGCCTGCAAAGATATTTAACATGTAAGAAAACAGTATTATAGTGATGTAAAAAACATTTTCTAGGAGAACTTAAAATATAAGTGATGCAAACGTTTGTTACATACTGAATCGAGTGGCAAAAACTTTTTTACAGTCGGTTTTAGCGTAACAGTTGAAATGGTATTTCAGAAAACATTAGATTCTCAGAAAACTGTGTCAAGAAAAAGTGTGGCAGATTATTGGGTACGAAAAAATAACATAAATGGTATAAGACATTCCATGACAGGATTGGAAAAATTGTAGACTCAACTATAATATGTTCAGAAACATTTTTTTGGTTTATATCCTAAACTCCAAATCGAATGAAGTAAATTCTGTTTTCAAGCTGTTGTAGCAACATAGTTCAATTTCTGTCTTCCTACGAAGTGAGTATTACAAGTATTTTTCTTTCTTATCTTCATCTGCTGTATCTGCATCTGGTTTTTCTATATACTGGAATCTTCTCAAAAAAAAAAGTTTTAACTACTTTCATTGAAGCAATTCTATCACACGAAACGTATTTAGTTTATCCACCCTACGATTCCTCCAGGACATTAACCGTGAAAAAGAATTTCATGCAGAAATTATACTAGTTATTATTTCGTTAAAACGCAGGTGTGTAATTCGGCGGTACTCTAACTAATGCTATGATGGAATGGTTCCTTCTGATGTGCGCCAGAGTTCGTCGCAGTCAAACATTACATAACTGAATTATGAACTTTGTTGCGAAATTCATTCTGCTGAGTACGCATTTCGATTTTTTCGGAAATACATAAATCATTTTAATTTTAATTTTTGATATTAATTCTCGGATTAGAATAGCGTTATAAAGATTAAAAAGAATTTAAGAATGTTTATGGACTACAATTTATTCATAATTATAAACCTTTTCCAAGAATTATTCCTTCATTTAATTATGAAACTACTCTCGGCGGGAGAAATTCGTGAACTTGTCCAACTCACACCCTCTTTTAATTGGTTCGCGAAATAACAGTACCGCTATACGAACAGTGTTAAGTGTTGGATTGTAGAGTGGTGCCGGCGGCGTCACTTAGAATAAAATTACGAGCCCCAGCAGAATGATTAAAATACCTATTACTCTAAACTACCCATTTGTCCGGAATGGATGTTCCGGAATAAATCCTGAAGCATTAATCTCAATAATTAATAAATCGCTTTTTGAACCATTAATTAAACGCAAAAGTTCTATGTAATTACGAAAATCGAGCACATATTTGAAATAAAACATTACTTACGGGTAAATCCAATCAACCGGCTGAGTGATTTTAATCTTATAATTATAGCCGGTTGCTGCGGCTGCAACGAAGGATTATGCTGGGATTTAAATATTCCAGAACCCTGAACGCAAATACGAGAGCTAGTTAATCCTGGCGTTCGGGTAGTATGGAAAACGCGAGCTGGACCACTCACAAAAGTTACCAGATTGTTGTATGTCAAGTGTCGGAACAGAATCGCCCAAATTTAATTTACATTGAAAAATGCGGCGCTCTTTTCCGCCGTAATCGGATTTTAAATTCTCGCCGCGCACTCAAAAATCGACCGGGCGTAAAAGTATTCGAAAATTGAAAAATTGTACGATAGAGCGTAACGATTCATTAGCTTTAAATACGATTAACTCTGCTTTAATATCATCGAAGCAATTTCGAAAAAATCGAATTTCTCATAAAATATACTCGAGTTTGGAACAAACTACCAGTTCCGATTGGGAGGTTATGAAACAATTTTGAGCCAATTTTTTAGACGATACCAAATTTTTCTTTTACAATAAGTAATTAAAATAAGTTTAAAGATATTTTGTTAAAATTATTACATATCCTTCCACGGAGAATTTGATTGATTACCCTCAAATTGCAGGAAGCTATTCATCACAACGTAACTCGGTTATTTATCATCTGTAAATAATGGATGGCTATAATTTTACTATACCACCAAACTATTAACCCTATATTTTAACTTTTACAATTTTTATTAGCTTCCTTTTTTTTATCGACCACTTTTCACGGTAACAATGTCCACTTTCCAGGCATCGATGCGACATTCATGGGGTGATATAAACCCTGAGATGGCCTCCATCAGTTGTAACATGGCAAAAAAAGACTAGTGAAGTCTATTACCAGACAAAGTCGCCTTTATAGAGCGAACCTAACGTAAATGTTCCAAGGTTCACCGTTAAAGGGCAATTTGCGCTTCAATTGTTACTTTGTCTGCCAGATCCTTGAAACAAGTAAAACACTTTTCGTAACGTTCTGTGTCCGTTAACCACAGCAAAGGTACAGTTAAAAATATATTTGTCACAATGTTCGTATTTTAAACATTTAACAGTATATCTATCCACCTTTGTTATTACAAAATTCTTTCTAAAACTTTAACAAAATTTAATGGTAAATAGAAGCATCTAAAATAAATCTCTCTTAAAGCTTAACTAACAGCAAGTACAGTAAAATCTCGTTAAAAGGGGTTTCGGATATAACAGACAAAATATAGATAAACCCGGGGTCTTCCCCTAGTTGTTATTCAGCGTTGGATTGTTGCATATTTTCATTGAATTAAAACTAGATGCATGCTCTTAATTTGCATAGTCTTTCGCGTATGGATTGAAAGTCCAGTGTCCAGTGATTGATGGTATGCCATCAATCCCAGGTGCGTTTCCATTTTTTGACTCAGTATTTGCATTTTGAATCTCACTGATGGATATAGGTTCCATAACGCTCTCATCTCTTTGGTGAGGTGGACTGTTGTCCATATTCAAATTAGTTTCTATGCTTATTTCACTACTATCACCTACTATTTTTCCTGTTTCATCTATGCATAGAGCTGTTTGTGGTTTGTTCTCTTGTCTTAACTGTCTAACAAATTTACTTTTACCACCTCTTGATAAATTTATCCGATAGATAAATCCACCTCTTAGCCAATGACAACGTTTAAAACCGCCGTAACCATGGCAACTATCCTCTAGAATACTCTAGATAGTTTATGAGAAGGATGGCAAAAGTGGGCCTTAAAGTCTCTCTCCATATTTATTATTTGATTGTTCTGGAAACGGAACAGCCAACGGAACTGGAAATGAAAGTATCCTTCGTCTGCAGATTTTGTCCGCTTTTCGTCTTGCTTTCTTGAATAATTCCTCGCTTTCCCGCCTTGGATTAATAATATTCTTTTAATAATATTCTACTGGTCATTAATCGTCTGACCTCTATCACCGCTAAGACGTTCCATTATCTTTACTTCTATTTTCTCCTTCATTCTGCATTGTGTTTCCGGTATTTTCAGATTTTCAATATCTAGTTTTCTATGTTTCAATACCGTTTCTATGATAAGTTCTAGTCTCATCGACTTTTCTTTTACAAGTACAATACTTACGTAAAGTATGAATATCGATAAGTTTGACAGTCGTAATAGAATACGCTAAAATCGTATGTCGTTAAGCGAGGTTCATCGCTTTTTCAAGGATCCTTGTAATGGCAAGGTTCATTGAGACAGGTTCTTCAGAGTTTTTTCTTCAGAATTTCCTTTTCCATAAATTCTTTAACAACTTTTTTAGACATAGTGTTAAGATAGATTTCCAAGACGACGCAAACTTTGACACAATTATTTGTAAGAGCTTTTTTCTTCATAAAGGAATCTAAGAATTATCTGAGATTTTCAGGAATTTATAAGGATATTTAGGGATGTTGGATATTTAAGGATTTTAAGATGTTCCAAGGAGTTTGTAGTCTTTTCAGAGAAGTTCTAAGCATTTTCAAGAATTTCTAATAATGTCTAAAGGTTTTTCAGACATTTTTATTGATTTATAGAAGGATTTATAGAAAGACAGTTGTTTTAGTTGTCTAAAGACGCACGGCTAAACTAGTTTTCTAGTTTTAGTTGTTATTCAGTGCTAGATTGTTGTATATCTTTCATTGAATCGAGACTAGAACTAACACTAGCCCTAGAACTAGAAAGATTCGTGTTTAGCCGTACGTCTCTTAAGACGGCTAAATCCGAATGTTTCTAGTTGTAGGTCTAGTTTCAGTTCTAATGCTAGTGTTAGTTCAAGTTTTAGTTGTTATTCAGCGTTAGATTGTTATATATTTTTCATTGATCTAATAGTAGAACTAACACACTAGACCTAGAACTAGAAAGTTTTGGATTTAGCCGTGCGTCTCTTAAGATGGCTAAACCCGAATATTTCTAGTTCTGGGTCTAGTGTTAGTACTAGTGTTAGTTCTAGTTTCAATTGTTATTCAGCGAAATAAGAGTAAAACTAACTGATAGCTGTTCGAGTTTGTGTGTATTAAAATTATTTGAGGTATATTCGAGGTTTTATTATATTTCAAACCATTTCAAAAAAATATTGCGCTGAATAGATGATTTCTTTTTCAATATTTTTATTTTATTGATAAAAATAAAGCAATTAATTAAGATACATCAATACCGTCAAGTGGGATCAATGAAATAACTTTATTAAGTCGATATGGTTGGCTTATTGACGTTGATTGGTTAGAGTAAAGGGTTGAACAAAATTAGTTTTCACGAAGTTTTCCTAGAAAGGACAAGGATTTATTTCGGCAACATCTCATTCCCCGGGTTTAAGACAAGTCTCATTTCCCATCCTTCTAGTTCTTCCGACTGCATTTCGCCGGAGAACAGGAAATAAAGGGAAAAGAAAGAATAAGCACGAAGTAATATTCCGGCAGTTGAAGTTATTCCATCTGTTTCAGCACGGAGCAACTTCCGGGAGCCGTTTCAGGCGTGGCGTCCGCTAGAACGTCGGCGTCGTGCAGTTTGGCATCCTCAAGGGAATCTTCGACCAGCGTAGGACCTCTTCCCTATAAGGTTTTGATGTTGGGAGCACCTGCAGTTGGAAAATCCTCGCTGGTTTCACAGTTTATGACATCGGAGTTTCTACAAGCTTTCGACACGAGTATTGGTAAGTAATCACTATTGTATGATTATTAACAGAAATCGTTTTCCGAGACAATTGTATTTGGTAAATTTAAATTGAGGTCACTAGTTTGTAATAAAGTAATTATGTAGTTTGATTAGTTACACAAACTGTTTGCTTAAATTAATTGCGCTCTGGATAATTTTCATTCAGTTATTTCACACAATTTGTTACGGTCCAACTAAATTATACCTATTCGGGTTTTATTGATTTATTAGAGCAATAAAAAAATGCTTTTCCCAAATAATCGTATTCATCCGATGATAGATAATTAGATTTAAACGTAAAATAAATAAACAATTTAATTTACTTTCAAAATAACACATTAATGAAATCATCTACTTTAAATCTCATTGGAATCGTATAGTTCTCATCAGCAATCCATTTAAAGATAAGCAAATTGGAGAGACGCTGATTTCATTTCATGCAAGATTGATGAAAATCAACCCACGATATGAACGTCCTATTCAATCAATATCGCCTCCGCCTATGTAATTTTCCTGCTAATGTACTTTCCGCACCGTCAATCCATGAACACGTTTCATGTGTCAAAGTTACCCGTCTGATGCCTGATTCGTCAACGTGTTTCCTGTGGCCAAACCACGCGAAATTCGCAAGGGAATATTAATTCATAACGCACGTGAACGAATGAATTAGGGCGCAAAGGCTGTCTTTATACGCGACCTATGCGTCAAAGGAATTCTTTGGAGTGGCACTTTTATAACTGTACAGGAAGTTCACTACAACTTCTCGTTCAATGAAAGCAATCTCGAATAAAAGTCTTCCTGTCTTTATTTCCGTTCAATATTTTTAACTGAAATTTTTCTTTATTGCTATTTCGAAATAAACATTATCTTTTTGGATATTCTTACGATAGGTGTAAATTACTAAGACCACGTGTAAAGTTCGTCTCTTAAAATGAAAGTTTTTATAAGAAAAGTTTATGGCTGTTAAGAGGATATATGGTCCCAGCAGATCGTTTATCCGAGAGGGCATCGGGTTAACGCCGTATATCCTCCCAAAAGCGGTTCTTCATCTTTCTTTCCTTGGAGATGCGAAGCACGTAGCATCAAAACAGATAAATAATACTTCCAGAGACGATGGTTATCGTGAAGGAGTTCGTTTCGCTAGCTCATAAAAGAAATTACGCTGGTTCTAAAATTATCCTTGTAACTTTGAGTTTTTTAATAAATACACAATTAAATGTAATAATAATCTAATGATTAGTGTTAGTTTTGGGTTGCCTATTGTTAGTTGCATATTTGTGTCATTCTTATTTATTAAAATGAAACGAAACTACCTTAAATTGCCTTAATATCCTAAAAGTCATATGGCAAAGTTGAAATTTGGTTGCAGCTCTTTCAATGCTCTATGTGAACTCAATCTAGATGTATCAACGCTCATTGTTATTATCAAAATTGGAGCATCTATTCCACAGGTGGCATTGAAGGTCAATGTTGAAATAAACAAACATAAAAATACTGTGCACGTGTCGAGCAGTTGAACCTTTGCAGAAATCGCTATGTATTTTTCAGCTTTCGTATTCTACCGTCTTTTATTTTGTAATAAATGGTGTATTCAAATAGTTTTTGCTGACGCTTTCATCATAAATTGCGTAAATGAGTGAAGATAAAATGGTGTGTAGAGGACGTATGGGAAGAAAACAACTACTGGTTAACCCAGTAGTTCCCCAACTCTAAATCTCCAACCGATTTGAATGTTAGTGCATCAGCAAAAACCCGAAAAAAGCTTTCTCAAGAGTTGTATGGCGGTGAAATTGACATATTTAGTGTGAAATTTACTGAAGAGACTAAATTCTTGTACCAGGTGGTGGGGCATTGCAAAAGCGTGGGTTTTCATACTTGTACGGCTTAGTTACTTTAATTAGATGCACGGTCGGTAAAATTGTGGATTATGTAGCAAAACTGCAATATTGCAAGACTTGTATGTACTAGGACAAAGAAAACACACCGAAGAATATGCAGATTGGGCAGAAACTCACGCGAAAAGATCACAAGGAATCAGCCAGAAAATAGATGTGGACGTGGAAATGTTTCAGTTGTCTGAAATTTTGCACAATCTACAATATACGTTAGCTATGTTGGCGACGGTGATTCAAAAACTTTCAAAGGTGTCAGAAACTAAGCTATATGAGAATATCACGTTAAAAGAATGTGCAGAAGCCAATGGGTACTTCGCTGCGTAATTTGAAAAAACATACAAATTGTCTTGGTGGAAAAAGAAAGCTGATTAATGAACTTTCCATGTATTACTGCTTAGCTATACGCAGAAATTATGATTCGATTGAAAAGAAGAGAAATTAAATGTGGGCAAACTGTTAACTCATGCCAATTCGCAACAAAATTGTAATCAGAAAAGATTTCTGATTTTCGTGGCAGAAAGCAATACCAAGAACATTTTTGTTATAACGTCTTAATCTTCAAGTATTCGAGACCATAAAAATAGTATGTATAATTGTAAAGGAATGCAAGGTATAACCACAAACATCTCAATCGACTTTTACAACGATGAATTTGCATCAATTTTGCAAATATTGGACACTATGAGCATACAAATCAGCCCCCAAACACTTATAATATGTGCTAGGACATCGACGCGAAGCCCATTAGCAAGGCGGGAGTCCTTGTCCGGTGATGTAAAAGTGGCGAGAGTCGAATTAAAATCGTTAAAGAAGTATAGATAAGAAGGGGATGAAAATCTGGAAAGCCAATTGTATGATAAAAACATTACAAATTAATGGTATACTGAAATTATCATCTTCTAACGGTTTCAAAGTTTGGTGCATTTTTCGGCCCCTTAAATATAACGTAAAAAAAGTTTCAAAATCCTCTATCATCATCTTTGAGGGAGGGTTTGGAAGATGTTAAACAGTCCTTAAATATATGTATTAATGATGACCAACTAAGCTTCAATTGAAGTTGGTAATTTGGATGTTGGGCTTTAATTTACATTTTAAGGATCATGTTAGTAGTCTTCTGCAGCGCGGTCATTCCATAGCTTAATTGGGCCGCGTTATGCATCACTTAACATTAGCTTAGTCGACAAATGAATAATGTTGAGAAAAACGGGATTTTCGTTTTCATCTCTCTAAAAATATAAGACTTTTCAGAATAGACAGGCTCAAACTATTAAAAATTGTTTAGTGCCTGTCACAAGCACAGAAGCCGCTTGGTCACTTGTTACGTTTTACGATTATACAGGGTGTTTCTGTAAGTCGTGGCATAAATTTAATCACTAAAACTAGAGACAAAATGATTTTTACGATTCTTGTAAAAATTTTTGAAGAATATAATCTAGAGTTTGATTTTGTACTTTTAAACTGGTTTTTATTTTATATAGAATTTAAATCTAACCAGTTTCGGCCCTTGGTCATCTTCAGGAACTCTACAAATAGATTAACTCTTATCTCTCATCTTATCCATTTTACAAAAAGTTTTTTAATATTTCTTTTTGTTTGGTAAATAAGTTCACATATCAAAGTCGAAATCAGATTATTAATTACTAATTTACAAAATTAAAGTTTAAAAAGTTGTAAAATGAAATTAACGACGAAGTGTTATACGAAGTTTAGAGATTATAATTTAAGCACACTCTTTTTTAACAAAAGAAATATTAAAAAACTTGGGAAAAGTTCAAAAATCATCATGTGGTTTAAAGATCGACGATTTTTTTGAAATCAATGTGAAATGACCCAAAAAACCGTTAAAAATAAAAAGGAAGTGCGGAAAAGTGACTAACACTAGATTAACTTCAGTTATAAAACTTCTTTTACATGATAAGTACCTTTAGGTTTAAAATGTCAACCTCAATTTTGACATATTTGTAATCTTCATTAAAAATCCTTTAAAATGAGTACAAACACGACATATTTATCTTCAAGTTATGGTCAACTTCCGGTTAAAAATCTTTTTATACGTTTAATTCTAATATTACTCGAGATATAAGCAACTTCCGGTTTGAAATGTCAATGTCATTTTGATATATTCTTAATTTTTATAAAATGTCTTAATATTTGTCACAAAAAAATATTAAAAAAGAAATTCAAAAATTAAGGTTGGTATTAATATTTAAAAATAAAATTGCTATTAACTTGGGGTTTAATGTTTTTTATCCTAACTTTTTTGTTTTTTGAGATAAATGCGTCATCTTTGGACTCATTTTAAAGGTTTTTTAATGTAGATGACAAATATGTCAAAATTGACGTTGACGTTTCAAACCGGAAGTGATTGTATTTCCATTAATATTAAAGTTAAATATGTCGAGTTTGGAGTCATTTTAAAGGATTTTTTATGAAGTTGACAAATATGTCAAAATTGAAAGTTGAACGTTCGACCTTTTTGGTTTTTTGAGATAGATGTGCCAAGTTTGGCGTTTTAGAAGTTTAATACATTAATATTTTTCTCACATTGCTAATATTTCGTTTGCTGAAACGCTGAGTTATTTTATTCTATTGCTAGTTTCTGTCTCCACAGGCGACTAAGGCACCCAGATTGATTCACAACTCTTCAAAAATTTCAATTTGGTTTTCAACACATTGGCAGTTTTCTTATTTTGATAAGTTGAAGTGAAATCTTTTCTTATTAAAAAACTTTTTTAATTTGGCTAACGTTCAACTAACGTATAAAAAGTTCTGCAAACGTATTCATTTTCGCAAAGAATCACTTATTCATAACACTATCAGAGATTAAAATCAAGTTTTCAAATTTTTAATTAAGGTAACTTAAAAAAGTAATTTGTTGGGCAGTGTTATACTTAATAATCGATATTTTTTATTAGTCTTGTATTTTGTGTTTACCGAGGGCTATTTTTTTTTTAATTTTAACCAAACACCATTCTAACATAAAAAAAAAATTTTTTATTGCATGTAATAAGAGTAAGGTGTAGGATTTATCCTGGACTCTTCAATAAGTATAGGAAAATGTCGATAACGGACAAAATATTTTTAAGTTATACCATTAACATTATCTATTTAATACATCACTACAGTTAAATATAAATGTTAGCCCTCATAGATAGAATCCCACTCGGGTTATTCCCCAACTTGCTCTATTCCATGTTCATAAATAAACTCGGGGTATTCCACGAGTTGTCTATACGATGTATAAATCAAGGACGGCAATTTTAGTTTTAATTGTTATTTAGCGCTGACGTCACGAACGGGCCTTCGAGCTGTGCATCTGTTCCTGAGATGTAGCAATTCTCCTACATTCGAGTTTTGGCTATAACGGACACTCCATTTCCCGTATTAATCCGTTATATCTTGAATTACTGTATTCTTTTAAACTTTGCGAGTTATAATGAATAGGTGAAGATTGAGGCGTAACTTAAGCAGTTTCTAACCTCTTGATAGAATTTAGGATTAAATTCTTTCCATTTTCGTTTCAGACGACGACAGCGGTGAACGTTCAATATCCGTTTTACTGGCCGGTCAAGAGTCGGAATTGATGTTCGTCGATTATGCCACCGCCGACATGTCGGTAAGTGGGTTTTGGGGCACTTCTGACCACTTTCCTATCCGCAATCTCATTTCTACTACATCCTTACATTCAATAGATTTTCAGATCTATAAACCTCCATTTCTCAGATCATAAATTCAGCTGGAATATTAGATTTTTTGATTTCTCCCGTCAAGAAAATTCAATATTAATAAACTAATGTGTTTTTTTTATTTTCAGCCTGATAGCATAATATCAAAATACAATGATCCACATGCATATTGTGTGGTTTATTCAATCACAGATCGAGATAGTTTAGAATGTTCCGAAAGAATTTTACAAACCTTATGGACAATGGACGCAATAAGCACAAAAGCCGTTATTCTGGTTGCGAACAAAGCAGATTTAGTCAGGTCAAGGGTTATTCCGGAAGATGGTAAGTAAATTTTTTTCTAATTTTCAAACGATTATATCCACCGAATAAATTATCTGCAAACACCGACGAGAATTCTACCAGGAATTCCTGCTGAGGGGGCGGTCACTAAGACCCTTTCCTGTAATATCCGGGCAATATAATAGCTCGAATATCGATTTCATTTATTCTTGGCGAACCCAAGTTTCAATTTGCGTGCTTACACAATGAGATTATTTTAAAAATTGATTACAATAAGTTATTACAAAAATCTCTTTAAAAAGAAGAAACTATTTGCATTTATTATTTTTAATAAAATCTCTGAATTGTATGATGTTTATAAAAAACGATACAGACTTTCCTTCGCAGTATTGGCTGTTTGAGAACGACCCAATACCGATCAACTTTCCATTTTGTACAAGAGGGGAACCAGAATCGCCCTAAAAGAACGTATTATATTGAAAAGTTTTGTTATCGATTTATTTTCTATTCTCCTCTACCTTACAAGCGTTAGTTTTCATGATAGGATCAAATGTACAGATTTCGCTGGGATCCATGTTGTAAATCCCCTTACAGAATTCAGTTGATCGTAGAGTAACGTTTGCTTGTAACAATTCAATACCAAGTGTGCCTCTTTTATTTTTCGATTTACCCCAGCCATACATTGAAGCTCTACTTTCAGCTACTGGTTCTTTGTTCACCAACCCAATCGATTTTACTGTATCAGAAAAGGTTAACGGTTTTTCTAAACAAACAATTGCTAGGTCGTTGCTGTAGGAACCAGGTTTAGTGTAGTTGGGATGTATTTTTATTTTTTTAACGTTAAATGAATTAATTAATTTTACTTCGTTTATATTATTAATACCTACCTACAAATTACATTAACGATTAATAACACAAAATTATTAATTTCCAAACGTACCTGCGAACACAGAAATTTCATCAATTGAAACATTTCGAAAACAATGCGCCGCCGATAAAACAGTTCTTTTTCCATAAATTACCCCGCCACATTGTATTAAATCGCTTCGGGTATTCACGCTTAGTATCAATGTTTGAAATGGAACGCCATTAGGTGAAACACTAAAACCGTTATGTATTCTCGGTTTAATGGTATTGTTCGATCCCAAACTTGGCTTTAAACTAAATAATAAACACAACAAAAATGGCGTTATTACCCACAAAAGCATTTCTGAACCGTTTATACCCGCAAATGAAATCTATACGATTATAGTAGCGAATCAAACGTATAAATGGATTGGAATGAAACGAAAAAAAGGCAAAGTATAATTTACAAGTTACATTGTTCAGTGTGAATCAATTTCATTTAATGAATCACCAAGTACTATACAAAAAATAAAGAGGAAAGTTGTGTTTTAAAAAAATTAAGGTTTAAATTTATTCAGATTAGTCTTTATACCCAAGATAGTAATTACATAATGTGAAGCACATAATAATGGATTCTTTAGGTATTTACCATGAAATCTAGATTCTTCACACTATCAGTAATCTGCAAAATCCAACCTTTGTACCGCGACTAATGAAATCTATCATACTCCGATAAGTAACATATTAAATTTAACACTGCATCGTTATGATCTTAACCAGTGTCCTAAAGTGTGGGTCGCGACCTCCAGGAGGGTCGCCGTGAATTTCCAAAAATAAGACAAAAATACTTAATTAAATCATGTCTTTTTATTTTACTGTCTACTTACCAGATGAAACATAAAACAAAATTTTAACTTCGTAAAAATAGAAGAGGAAAATAAAGTAAAATATTTTAATCATTAATGTATGTATACATTAAAATTTAATGTTAATGAGACCCATGCGCCTATTTTTCTGAAACTAGTCTTTCTAATCTACGCTTAGTATTTGAGACACACATAAATATATCGTTTTCAAGACCAGTACGATTTTATTGGTATTTCAACATGTTGAACGGATTTTTCTAAAAACGGATTTAATATCCATCTGTAATTGTCGTAATTATTTTTAAGTTGTTCAGGAAAATAACCACAAAGCTGTTGTTTTAAATTGAGCAAAGCAGCAAACACTTGTTCAAAATTCGTAACACTACACTTGAATACATCTTCCATAATTTCCTAAATGCACCGGAATGAATCGAAGTGCTTTTTGCCAATTGAAGTCGACCATAAATCAATTTCTCTGATAAATTCGTTCACATTATCTGTGGGTGTAATTAAATTAGCGTCGCGACCTTGCAAATTATTGTTCAAAATATTTAATTGTTCGAAAATGTCAGCCAAAGGAAATTAGAAAATTGATTTTCATATGGAAGCTTATCATTTTGCATATAAGTATGTTAAAAGCTCTGCTCTTAAGTGAAATACTCTTATTAAACGTTGCCTCTTGAAACTGTGATAAAGAAAATTTTTAATTAAGCACCCATGTTTTCGCAGATTTTTTGAAAAATTAAACCTTAAGAGTATTTGCAACTTCAGGTGGTACAGTTTTTGACGCAAGAGCTTCTCGATGTAAAAAACAATGTCTTCATATGGCATTAGGCATTATTTCTTGTAATCTGACGATAAGACCAGATTGGTGGCTGGTCATGGCTTTTGTACTTTGTAAAACTGTACGTTTCAGAAAAGTAACGAATAAACATTATCCTATGGTAATGGTCTCCAATGAGGAACAAAATAAAATATCTTCTTTAATGCAATTATTTGTATCATGTCTTACAAACGTAACAAATTGGGCAGAGTTAGTTATATCTGTGGATTCGCATATTTGTAAATGAAGTACGTGCAGCTATTAAGATTTTCCACAACTTGTGTTTGAATACTGCCATATTACTAATTCTTCTTTGGATAGTACTTATTATTTGACGGAAGTACTGTCTTTAATATTGCAGCCTGTTTTTCACCAAACATTATATGTGCTATTTCAACAGTTGCTGGCAAAATAAGGTTTTCAGCAATTGTGTACGTATTACTGGTTTTGGCAACGCGATAAGCAACTTTATAACTTACTAATAACACTTTTTGATTAGTAGTGGTTGTCAATACAAAAGTGTCTTGCTGCTTGTGACGGAAGTTCAGTTGTCTTACAAAGAATTCTACGGGAGTCTCGTTTTTATCTGGATGTTTGCTATTTATAGAGGTTTGTTAGTCGAAGTAGGTTTGATGGCTTCATGCTTTTTTTTGACAAAACTTCTCCACAAATAACACCTGATGAGGAGGAGGAATAGGATTTAAGTGATGAGGAAATAAATTGCTTAGATCTTGCCCGGTGAAATCAAATCAGATCCATGGACGATATAGATTGCACCCCATGTATTCAGATTAGATTAACTCTGTTATTAAAACTCAATGAATTTAATGTTCTTTTGCAACCATCAACCAGAAACAAAGCAATTTAACTGCAGTTAGAACCAGAAAACAGCTGGGTTGTCAAAGAAAATGACGTAAGAAACTTCCTAAATTATAGATAACGATCATAATCTTTTTCTCAACAAGCAAATGCAGAGATGATAGGCTAAGCAAGACGTCCAAGCTGCTGCACCATACATGATCATTGGTCTAACCTTCTTCTTCTTTTATTTTGCTCGTAACCTGTCTTTCTTCACGCATCAGTCATGGTGTTTCAATACAACTTTCCTTCTATCTCTTTAATAGTCTCCCAAGATATCTTCTTCCAGCTGGCCTTTAGTCACTTGTTATCTTGATCAGCCTGGTCTCTTCCGCTGTTTGGATGTGTTCATTTTCTTCTTCATCCCCTAGCGAATCTCACAACATCTCTAAATCCACATGCTCTTACAGTCCTATTCTTGGCTCTATCTCTCTAAGATATTATTTATTTTTTGCCCATGCTTTTTCTGGAGTATTATCTTTTGCAATGTTGATTTTATCCTTTAATCTTGTTGCGTATAAGTTTTTCATACTTCCGTCTAGTGTTCTACATTGAATTTTTCACTATATTCAGGGTTGATCGTCCGTTTTATTAAGATTTCATACTTATTTTACAGAGTACTAAGGGATAGTCGCTTCCAATGTTTACAAAATTCAATGTTTTCACTTCCAATATCTCAAAAGGGGTGAAACGTCGGTTATTGATGCTGTAATATATCTGGGATCGATAGCCCTATGCTTTTTCAAAGGTATACATGTTCTAGTACATACTTTGGCAGACTCTCTTAGGTATAAATAAGATTTTTTGGTTACTTTTATCGACACTCTTCTAAAAAGTGATGTCACTTCGAAGCTTTTCATACGATACAGCAAATTGTGTGGAAGCTTTAACGCAAGAGATATTTTCCTACACAGGGCAAAAACTTTTCGCCAGGTGACTTCATTTAATCGCGCTATCAAAGCTTGTAGCTTAAAGATTTTCAGTTATTTTTTCCCAATGTTATAACCATTTTGTGCTGTTCTATTTGTCAATCAAAGTTCATCTCCGTTTGATCTTCTCATACTTGCAGAACAGATTTTACACCGTTAAATTATAAACTCGTTAGATTCACTACTTTTTGATTTCATCTACTTAGGTGTAAATATATTGTGTTGTGGGGTTTTTGCTAGCTTATGTAAATGATACCCAGCTGTGGTTTAAAATAATTGAGTTGGGTTGGGTGATTTTTTCTTAATAACATAGAAAGTAGTATTATACATGTTATGTAAACAAGATAATTAAATAAAATTTAATTAAGTTTGATAATAACATGATTTGTTTGCTTTGAATAATTGTTTAAATTTGCAATTGTCGTAAACATCTTCTTGGACTTTTTAATTTCGAATATTGTTCCGGTTCCATACTACAACTTCCAAGCGATTGAATTCGTAAGATTAGCATCCACGTTCTACGCATTTCTACCCCAACTCCCCTCCTTGCTGGGATCCCTGCAATGCCGACGATGCCCGGAATTCAAAACGGGTCCTCTGACGATCATTCAAAGGGGCTACTTCCTGGGGATGATTCGAACCGTCGGAGTTGCTCGGCTACTAAAAGTAGGGGAACCTTTTGGAACATTGCCAACAAAGGCATTGACCCCTTTATTAACAACCCTAGTCTGGATGGATTTTCTACCATCTCCATCCATTAAAATTAAAAATGCATTCTAAATATAGTAATAATAAGAATGAAAATGTTTTGATTTCAGAGGGAAAAGCAATGGCGACATCATTCGATTGTAAATACATTGAAACGTCAACAGGGATAAACCATAACGTGAATGAGCTCTTGGTGGGCATCCTTACCCAGATAAGACTAAAACTAGAGAATCCGGAGAAGACGAGAGATTTGTTCCGGAAGAGAAGCTGTTCGAAAAGGAACATAAATCGGAACAAATCGCCCGCATCGGCCACTGGGACACCATCTGGAAGTGCACAAAATTCACCGAAAAAATATAGAGGGTCGAGGACATCAGCTAGTCTCAAAGTCAAGAGTTTGCTGGGACGTGTTTGGGCAAGAGATAGTAAATCAAAGTCTTGCGAGAATTTACACGTTCTATGAATTTATTTTTTACGTTTTTTGCATTTTATTCCATGGTGATTATTTTATACATAAAAAAAACCTAAGCTAGTCATTTGAAATTATAATTATCAGAAGAAAACTTCGATTATTCCGCGGAAAGCTTCGTAATTTAATCAAAGTTAAATCGCCGGAAATTCTTAAGGGGTCCATCTAGTAGCGACGTAGTTAACATGTACGCTTATAATCTTTCTCGAGAGATGGCCCCACATCCTCTTCCTATACATTTTCAAAACTTGAAACATTTTTTATCAAAGCTTTTCCGTCCTGAACACAACAACCGAAGCTTTTCGTTTGATTTATTATGAATAATCGAGGTTTGCAATTCGTACAACATATTGTGATGAAAAGTTTTAAATTTATTACTATTATTTAATTTAATTTATTAAGATTAGTTCGTACTTAAGATTTTTACGGTTTAATTACGCATTTTTTGTATATGAAAAAAAAGTGTGATAGAATCCTTACTTACTAAAAAAAATATATACATATTATATGATTTTTGGTAATGTTGTTCGTTACCATGTTATATTTATAAAATAGATTTTAAGACGTGTGTTATTTTTTATATATTCTAACCGTTTAACAATTTTTATATAAATGAAAATATAAGGTTTTTAATAGTCGATATTCTTATTTTAACAGTTTTTGAATTTACTAATATTTTTCTTTAAAATAATCAAATTTTTGTATGCGCTGAAATTTTCAATTAAGAAATGGAAACGGTTGCTTTAAAGATATGAATATTTTAGGTGTATAAAAGCTTATAATTAAAATAAAAGAATAAAAAAGTGTTGTACCTTGGGACGCATATAATTTAGAACAGGCGTTTTCGTTTTATGTGGTTATAAAAGATAAGGAAACATTTTCTTTTGTCCTAAAATATACGAGTTCCAAGATATGAGATTTTCCCCTAAACTAGGTACATTTACAAAAAACAATATTTTACTAATTAGAATTAGTTCATAAACCCAAGTGGAATAATTAAAAATGTACTGATTTATAAATCTTAAGTTAATCGAGTGTTGTATTCATGGTATAATCGATTAGAAAGAAAAGTTAGCTTCAATAGACAGATCGGTTTCTAGTTTTACAAGGTTCTAAAGAGATTTTCTTTTATGCAGGTTTCTATTAATATTATTATACAGGTGTCTCTACAAAACATTCACAAATTTCAAAATGCTAATTTTAACCCTGACGTATAATTTTGGTAACATTTACTAATCACACGTCTCCCAAATGGCAACTTTAAAAACAATGAAAATCAAATTTTTCTATTTTGTAGGCGGTGTATGTAAGTAAATTGCTGGTTTTAAAGCGTCTTTCTCAATAAGGTAACTATTGAAATGTAAGCCCTTTCGTGAATTCTGAACTTTCAATTTCTTTATTGTTTTTATAGGTATACAGGTATGAGGTCTAGTACACGAGTATTTGCAGTATCGTTCGTTGAGGTACGTAGTAAGCTACCATATCTGATTCACCACTTCTCTTGTCTGTAGATTTTCGATGCTGCATTGATAATAACAATATTACGGATTTATATATTCTTCTTCATGTTCTTTTCTCTCTTTCTCTGTAAACCATAGAGGTTGTTGTTCCTGATAAGGTCTGTCTATAAAACATCTCCTGAGAAGTTGATTGCCAGCTATCTCTTCATGTCTTTGGTGGTCTGGTTCCGGACGAATTATTTGAAGCACAATTTTCGGCAGTCTGTTATCTGGCATTCTACGGACTTGGTTGTGCCAAAATTCCTAGCGCTGTCTTCTTCATCTCACACGCATCTCTGATATCGGAGTTCTTAACTGAGTCTCTGGACTTACCTAAAATTGTCTTCATTTCTGCAACTCTTAATATGCTCTTAGTTTTGTGTGTGCCTTCGCGTATTTCACTATGTAGATCATCATTTCTTATGTACTTTGGGAAACTGTGAGTACAACCAAGTAGGTAAACTCCATTACTTTTTCGATGAGCTTATATATTGTTGGCTCCATTACTAAAACCATGTATTTAGTTTTTGAAGTAGAGATAGCAATGTTCATGATTTACATCGCTTAATAAACCCTGTCAAGATGTTTTGCCGGTCATCCTCTGAGTATACAGATTTTCCTTTGACCCATTTTATATCGTATCTGTTATCTGGCATTCTACGGACTTGGTTGTGCCAAAATTCTTAGCGCTGTCTTCCTTAACCCCCCCATATCCAGAACCTAGTCCTTACAATGTCGTCACATTGATCTCTGATATAGTAGTTCTTAATGGTGTCTCTGGTCTTTCCTGAGATTGTCTTTATTTCTGCAACTCTTAAGCAACTCTCTCTCTGCTCTTAGTTTTGTGGGTGTCTTCGCGTATTTCAATACATAGATCATCATTTCTCATGTGTTTTGGGGAACCGTGATTACTTGAGATATGTACAACCAAGTAGGAACATTCCATAACTTGTTCAATGAGATTATATCATTATATAGAGGTTTTTGAAGTAGAGATAGCCATGTTCATAATTTACATCGCTTAATAGAGTCTGTGTTAATGTTTTGCAGGCCATCCTCTGAGTATGATCCATTTTATATCATAGGTTTAAAATCATCACTTCTTTAATTATTTTTTCTATTATCATGTTACACAAAAATGGGCGCTTTATCAGGTGCCACATAATGTCTTCGATTAATTCTTCTCTGACCTCTAATATTTTATATTGCATTTATGATTTCAGCTGATACATCTCTTACTAAAGTTGTGTGTTTTTGGTTTCGTTGATGTTAAACTCTGCTAGATTACCTCCACGTTGGATTCCTATTCAGCTTTGCTGTTGATGAATTTAGTTTTCATTCTCATTTTCTATAGATGCTTTGTACTTTCGGATCTCAGTGATTCTAGATTATATTTTCCAATGAATTTGGATGGCTTTTTGAATGACCGGGGTCGTTCTGATAAGATCTTGCATAAGACAAGGTTATAATCCGTTCCTATGTTGGTAGATGTGAGTGTCTAACATTTAAATTAATAGTGTCTTCTAAAGACAACTAGAACTACATCGATGCATTAGCACTTATGGAAAAGTATTTTTAAACGTTCTTTATAAAGATATCAAATATTATAGATAATGTAGCAGCTGCATTTCTTGAACTTCTTATTATGCATGAATGCTCTCTTAATGGAAAGATATGTTCAATACAATCAAATCTCTCAGTGCTAGTATGGATAGAGCTATCGGCAGCCTTATTATTGCAAGATTTTTGTTTTGCCCTGAGCAATTATTACTAAATATGTTGAGGTATTTCTCTATTAAGTCATATAGCAAGGACCTCATGGTAAACATAGAAGTATGATCCTGCCTTCCTTTAAATTATGTATACAGAATTCATTGATTGTTAACTATGTATAAAACACATCTTGCACAGGAATATATAGTAGAAGCAGAGTTTTAAATTCTTTAGTAACTCCTTTTAAAGCAGTGTAAAACTTTTTGCTCGTTTTTTTTGTGAACCATTAGCTCAGCAACTGAAAGGGCCCACCTTTTGGCATCATCTCTTCTATTTGAAGTCGTAATCTTTAAATGTAATTCTTTACACTTCAAAGATGTATCAATTTGCTGTCACCTAAGTTTCAGAAGAAAGTTTCGCAGACGAATTTGTGCTGATTATGGCAATTAATCTTTGATTCTGGATAAAATGCATCTAGATATTTGTATTCTTTTCCTGAGAGAAACACTCTATCTTTTACTAGATAACCTTCAATATGTTCACGCACAAGTAAGTTATCTTTCACTGAGATCGTAATTTTTGCAGTAGAACTCCATTTATCTCTAGGGCAGTTTTTGTGTGTAACAGTATGACGATTAAAGAAAGCATTTTGACGGATTTTATCTTTCTTTGCTCCAATAGTTACAAAGGGACGATATGAAAATTCTCGCTCATCTCCTTTCCCATTTTTTTACGGCTTTATGTGCTGGACTCGTTTTAATTTGAACCGGTTGATATAAGTCCTGCTTATCTTTAGTTTGCAAAAGGTAGAACTTATTCAAAACAGACATTCGTTATTCAGATATGATTTACTTGCAGGGTTGCCCGATAACTTTTCCTTCTACCTCCTGACCCCTGCAGTTTCTGTATACACGCTACAACGTCCTTTCAGAAATAAACGATTCATTTATTACCTTCTATCTTCGAACGAATCATGTTCATTGTTTATAGTAACTTCCTCATCACAATCACTTTCAATTTTACTGATATCATCATTCACTTCGCAACACCATTTCAATAATTGTTCCTCATTTTGGGTTTGTTAATTTACACATACATACATAACTTGCGGATTTACGGTGTAAATCAAACATCTTTTATTTTAGGTTTCGGAATATAAATAACCGGCGAACCTCCATTCACGAGTTTTTTTTTGTTATGAAGTAAACGATTGCTGTTGGTTCTTACTTACTAAGGTAGTGAAATCTGGGAATCCCCTTCCATTAATGCGGTATAAAAAAGGTAGGTGATTCCCCTCAGTAAACCAGGAATGTATCTTCTTTTCAGACAACAATTTAGTAACGTACACCATAAATACCTTGAAATACTTGAAAACATTTCTCAATTTTTGGAGTTAGAACTTTTAAAACCTTGTAAAACTAAAATATCGATATAGTTATTTTTTTGTTACTATCTCTAATTTATTTTCGCAATTTGAAAATCTCAGTGATGATCTGAGGAATAAAAAATCAACACCAATCGAGTAGTTTTAGTAAAAACATATACTTTAGTACGTATATACATATTGTGTACTTTTTGTTTTACTTTATGTTTCGTTTGACTGATTGAGTAAAATGGTAAATTATAAAGAAAATGAATGTCGGAATGCAATAAGAAAGTTATGTATATCTGTAGATTTAAGTAGATCAATAAAAGAAAATATAGATTTAGTCTCTACAATTGGGTCCACAACAAAACATAAATGAGATTTATTCTATTTAATGTATATCAAATTGTGTAAATGTACAGGATTATTCTAATAATGTTAAGAAAGAACCAACGCTGAAAAAATGAATTAATTGATGATTAATATCAAAAAATGAGATAAAATAATTAAAAAAAAGGAGATATATTAAAGCGGTAGGCTTATTTGACCAATTTTATTTGTGCCTTGTAATAGGCTTGTAAAATAATTGAAATGTTTGTAATGGTTGGTAAAACAAGTATTCAAAAGCATAGATTTTTAACACGGTTTGAAGTGGATTCGTGATTTTTTTGCGAATGACTTACCATATCCATTTTTATCATAAGAAAAAAAAATATAACATAAATGTTATTATAATAATTATTAACACCGTTTAGACTTTGTGGTATATATTTATAAAAAAAATCGGTGTTTTAATCTATGCTATCTTCCATTTTTGATGTCGTCTACACGTATTGTTTCTTGCAAATTACGTGCCAACATTCGTTATTACAAAAAATATATAAAAATCATTTCGTTTTAATATAAAGTACTCGTCAGTGAACATTAAATAAATCAAAGCTTTACATTAACACGAATGATCCCCATACAATTAATATGATTATATGATTGTAATAAAACGACTTTGTTTGAATGTACATAGAATTTCTGATTTTATATAACTTTTTAAAAATTTCTCATAGATGTTGTTCATTATTATAGTAAGTATACAAAGGAAATGTGCCCCTTATCAACAATTTAATGAATTTGTAATTGTTGAGCATTCATGATAAAAAATGTTTATAGAAAAATGTTTCCAGGAAAAAAATTAATATAAAAATAATGGTATAAAACATAAAAAAATAACAAGTGGTACATTTTCTTTATTTTCAATTAAAATGTTCGGACAACCGGGTAAAATACTTAGAGAAAAAAAATAGTTTGATGTTTCTATTGTTTTTTACAAATGATAACCGTGTTTCCGCATTGTATTGATCGTCTCCCCAATTTATTTTTATTTTTAATAACGACATAATGGAATTGGAAGCTGTAAAACATGAAATCTATCTTCCGTAGTTACTACATAAGATACCTAAAATACGATTACATAATATTATATTTGCCGACTTATACCAACATAATCGTTACCTATTCTAACGTTTTTCATTAGTAAATTACATACTAACTACTAAATAAATAAAATAAACCACTATTTGTGTTTATTTCGATATGTGAGCATGTTTTTCGCGTTCATAGATGCGACATCCACTCGTGCACAACTTGGAATTTTGAAGTTTGTAAATTTATAAGACCGGCAATGACGCCGTTTCGATTTGTAAGATTAACGTTTATATTATTATACTACGTGTATTACAACCAAGTTTATAATAATAAATTTTTGCTGTCAAGTATATTGCATGCATAGCCATCTTTTATTTATTATATTAACACCGTTTTTATTCACTCTTCAATTAGATTCTGTAGTCCAATTAAGTTTGTATTTACAATAGAAAATCTTAAGCGAAGGTGCAAAAAATCACGAAACAAATAGACCAACTTTGTTCCACTACAATTTTAGTCAAAATAGCATGTTGTATGATCTCTGGTAAAGGTTGCAATATGACCTCATCCTATGCCTCATCCCAAACATGTTATGCATGCACTTTAAAAAATGGAACGTTGGGGTTCTCCCATTTATATGATTGAAGTGTTGTTTGAGTGTGTTACTAATAATTTCGGTATTTGGTCTCAGGATCTCAAATAAATCCAAAGTCCACAAAAATCTCGAATAAAAGACAGCATTGAAAATGAACATTTTTTCAATTTGAATAATAATATACATATCAATGCAAGTGAACCTAAGTTATTTACAATTTTACCTAATTTTACCTAATTCGAAGGCTGAGGAGTGAAAATTAACTCACCCGGTTGCATTGTTACAAGATATGGGAGAACCTGGAATTTATTTATCCCAAAAATTTCACGACTGATGCTAAATATCACAATATCCATTTCAGCCTATTGCCCTTGTATCTATATTTTTCAAAACTAAATTTGAGATCAATCTTTTGTTAGTTCAAAATTTAAAATATTTATACTTTGAAAATGGTACCTTAATGATGACTGATTGTAAAAAAATGCTCGAAAAGAACAGATTACTTAAGAATGGAGTAACTCTACATTCCGGCATTTTTATTTGGCATAGATATACTTACAAAATTTTAAAATCCGAAAGCTACACAAAACCATAAATTCTAATAATGTTATACTAAGAGGCAGTTAAATTGACACCGGCGCCAAAATAAATACTTGCATTGATTAGTTGAGATTCAATATTCACAGTGGAATTATAAGAAGTTGAAAATTATTTAAACATAAAGTCAAGTTATTTATTTTTGTTATCAAAATTATGTTTTTGCCAACCAGATAATATTGACAACATTTATGACGAATGCAATGCATTCTACAGCTTTAATAAATAAGTCTAGTATTGTACAACCCATAGACATAATGGTAGGCATAATGGTAATGCCCAGAAATTTGCATCCCTCAAACCTGCGGAAGACATTCATAACAAACTAAAAAAAAGAAATTAGTAACTTAAGAATACTATGTACCTCCAACGATACAGTGAAGCATATTAGCATGCCATTGTGTATGTTGACTTTTGATAGATCAGAAATATCAACAAAATCTACGATATTCAATATATTAATCACATGAAGGTGTGAAAGTGAAGATGGAAGCGGTAAGGAATAATAAAAATATTCCACAATGTAAAAGATGCCAAAGGCATGGCGACATGATAAGATTCTACAATAACACCAGCCTGGGTGAAATGCGCAGGAACAAAGACACACCTGCCAAGTGCGTTAACTGTAAAAAAAAGTACCCGGCTAACTACAGAGGATGCACAATAGCAATGAAGCTGCTGAAAAGAAGGTATAACGCGAAAATCAACAAAGTTGCTGCTAAAGCACGACAAACTGTCATTAATATAGTAAAGCCTGGGATATCTTATGCCTAGAGCATACAAGAAAAACGACCAAAGTCAGCACCTGAGCCATCGACGTCCGAACCATCTATGATACAGATAATGCAGAGCATGATGATGACTTACATTAGATCGAATCAGTGCAAGACATTACAAATTGAAAGCAAGAAAAACTGGTACTATAAACAAAATAAAATAATTATCGACAGTACAATCAAGGCAATAGTAGTAGTGCGCTCGTTTTAAAAGAATCGAAGAATGCCATCGGCAAAGAAATGACATTCAACTAACAGTAATCGGGATTAAGTCAGCAAAACAAATGTTGAGTGTTGGTGCAATTTACTGCTTGCCAACACATAACATAAAACAAGAAAAGCACTCCAGGCTAACCACTACTAAAGGAAAAGCAACTACCACCCAACAGAAAAGCCAACCTACTTGGCTACTAACACCGAAAAAATCCCTAACACGGTATCCCCAGATCAATATCAACCCTAAAGAAATAATACATGTAGCCAAAGATGTGAATTATTATATTTACAATCGAAATCTCATCCAGCTCGGGGCCTGCACCTGGTATGTGTGAAATTCCGAATTATATCTACATTCAAACCGTTAAGGAAGAAATGGAAGAAATTGCTGAAAAACTTTAAGCTAGATTTCAGATCTACGACAATGCAGAGTCTTTTTTACGTCCGAAGAATGAACAGAAGAAAACCATGTGATCTTGTGTAGTGTGTTCTGTATAACAGCGGAGCACATTGCATGAGAACAAAACTAGAAGACGTCAATGGATAAACTCAAGTCAATAAGTACAGCTTTAAAAGTTTCGAGCTTTTTCCTTTATGGTTTTAAATTATTAATAATTTTGCCAACACATTATGTGAGAAGAAGAAAACCAGATGTAATTTACAATGTTTATACCTTCAGCGAAACATACGCCTACATTCGTTCATCTCAGACATCATAGACATTGTAATCGGACTGCGAAACAGCATACCCCTTGGTAGAGCGAAGTCACATCAGCTTAACTACCACACTAGTCGACAGTCCCGTATGAATCGTCAGCATTCTCAGGTTTTCCATGATATATGCAGAACACATAAACAAAAAGATCATAGGTTCCAGAATTGGCAGAAAGTTCTACCAACTGCGATACAGGATTGCAGCTGCTTGGAATAATCGTAAATATAGATCCAAATTTCGAAACGGAACATTTGCAAGATTCCAATACAATCTCTTTGCATACTTCGTATCTGCGAGATAGTACAGAACATGAGACATTTTATTGGGTTTCTTATCAAATAAAACATTTCAATGCTAATTTTACAGAAGTAATTCTAAAGTTAGATGAGTTATATTTTAATTTGTCTTATTTTTGATGAAATACAATCCAAATTCCAATTTTAGAATTTGTTTTTGAAAATATATAATAATAAACCAGAACATTTGACTTACAAAATAAAGCTTTCCTCTTTCTTTCTATTCTATTCAATGTTTATTTGGTTTCATCCGATAATTGTAACATAGAAATTGTTTCGTGTAACAGATACCACAAAATCCAAACAACATATTTGTGTCTCGAGGGGACTGTGTCAATGTTAACGGAAAAGGTGGCATTTAACCGCAATTGTATCGCGTCTCATCACTCATACGTGACGACGTTTTTACGACGTTTTTCGCTTCCATAAACGAAGCTTTGTGCAAGGAGTATAACGTGCAACATCGAAAAGGAGACCACAAAGCTTTGCAGCAAACCGCTTCCCTTTTGTGCACGTGCCTTGTGTGACGTAGAGCAGACGCGCGGAACCGCGACGGAAGACGTCATAAGAGAGGCGCTTTCGTGTTGCCACGAAAATACTACGGCGATTTAACGAACGGTACCGCGGTTTATCGTCCATTGTATTCGACCTAACGTTCGTTTGCATCTGTGTTCCAGGTATACGAACGAGTCAGAAAGGCGAGGAGGAGGCATGGGCCCGACCTCTTTGCCGTCGATGTCTTAAAAAGATTCTAGACGACTTCCTCGTGCTCACTCATGCTAATTGTCGCTACGGTTGGGGTGTTGAACTCTGCACCCGTTGCGAAATCGTAACCAGAAATGGGGTCAAGAGTTTCGTTTTTTTAGAATGGAACCGTCGACTGGATACCGACCAATCACTTCTCTAAGTAAGTAAAGATTTGGAAAGGAGGTTGACGACAGTTAAATGAGTGTGAAATCAGGTGTTTTCTGAAACTATGAATTTGTAGTAATTAAGGGTTTTCAAGATTATTTAATTAACTTTATCATTATTATTTTCAATTTATTTTTTATCTCAATTATAACACTTCAAATTTAAATCCTTTATTAATTTTTTTTTTGTTTTTCTGTCAAAGTAAATGATGAGACGCCTCAAAAAAAATAAAAAATCTATGATTTAATAAACAATTTAATTATTTATGCTTCCTGTGTGTCCATTTTGGGTTACCTGCACACAAAGACCAAATTGGGACTCGGAATAAGCGGCGTCTCTGAATCTTCGTCAATTTCTTCTACTTCTTTGCCTTGTGCTACTTCTCCAGCGGCGTGCGATGCCGCGACGGGCGACCTTAATGGCGCGATCGTCTTCGACAAAAAGCGTTACCCCGAATTTGAAGAACGCGCCCGCATTGAAAGGCCCGCCG